ATGATATGGCTTCTATGCTGTTTTCCCACTCCATCTCTCTGCTGCTGTAAGCACTATGACAGTGCACACTTTGTGGTTTAGTAATTTTATTGCATGGAGATCTTCAGGCTCCTGGTAATCCAAGCACTGGACTGTACTCAGGTCCATGGAAATAGAGAAGGACTAGTCTTCCCATAGATTCCCTCTGTGTGAAATCTGTTAGACCTGTTGTTTCTCAGTTCAGGGGGCAAAGCCACACAGATAGGCTTTCTTGAAGCAGCTCTGGAGCCACCTAACCCTTGCCAGGGACCAGTGGCCCTGGTTTTCTTAGAATAGGCATGGCATTGCTTGACTTCCTCTTCTAGAACATAGTGGGAGTTGAGGGAAGAGGTTCTAAACCGGGTACTCTGATCACCAATTGACCTTTTTTATAGCTCCAAGGTGATTTATTGAGCACATGGATTTGGGGAGAATGAATTTCCTCATCTTCAGGACTCTGGAGTTGTCTCTTCTGGACTGCTAGGCAAGGGAGGTGTAGACTGGTTATATTTCATTCAGTAATATGCTTGGAGATGTCTTCTGACCTTCTAAGAACAACATCTTTTAATTCAATTTTGTTTTTATTTAAACTCAGACATGCTGCTGGGAAGCTTGTTTCTCCTAGGATGGTCATTTACCTAGAAACAGCTGTCTGAATCAGAGAGGAAAATGGTGATTAATACACCCTTCTCCTTGCTTCACTTGCTCCTTGGAAGAAAAGTTATGACCAACCTAGACAGCATATTAAAAAGCAGAGACATTACTTTGGAAACGAAGGTCTGTCTACTCAAAGCTATGGTTTTTCCAGTAGTCATGTATGGATGTGAGAGTTGGACTATAAAGAAAGCTGAGAACCAAAGAATTGATGCCTTTGAACTCTGGTGTTGGAGAAGACTTTTGAGAGCCCCTTGGACTGCAAGGAGATCCAATCAGTCCATCCTAAAAGAGATCAGTCCTGAATATTCATTGGAAGGACTGATGCTGAAGCTGAAACTCCAATACTTTGGCCACCTGATGTGAATAACTGACTCATCAGAAAAGACCCCGATTCTGGAAAAGATTAAAGGCAGGAGAAGGGGACAACAGAGGATGAGATGGTTGGATGGCATCACCAACTCAATGGACATGAGTTTGAGTAAACTCTGAGAGTTGGCAGTGGACAGGGAGGCCTGGCATGCTGCAGTCCATGGGGTTGCAAAGAGTCGGACACGACTGAGCGACTGAACTGAACTGAACAACCTTCTTCTTGGAGTGGGTCTGGAGGTCCATGCTTACATCTTTAGGTAGGCAGATGAGGTTGCTGGTGGGGGAGGGGGAAGGGACTGAGAGGCGAGTGCCTTCAGGATAATATACCTAAGTCATGGGAGGCGTCCAGCCTCATAGGAGCTTCTTGGATTCCTAAGGCCTAAAGTTCCGAGCAGCAGGTCAGACACTGAGTCTTGAAGAGGTTGAATGGGTTGCAAGAAGATCCAGTCTTTTCTTCTCTAGAAAGTTGAAAATGAAGTGCTTTCAGTGTTGCTTGGCCATCTCCCAGCACTCCAAGGCAGCTTCACACCCAGGCAGCCCAGAGCCCATCCAGTCTTCTCAGGCCCCCTCCACGCTTCTGGTTAGCAGTCCCTGAAATGCAGAGGCCAGGCAGGGGTGGGCAAGGGGAGGATGCATATACAGTCATTTGCATCTTTGCTCATCTTCAAAGGATAAGAGAAAAGTCGAAACCTTGTCTAGGCTTGGGAATTTGGAATCTTTAATGTCTAAAAAGCAATAAGCTTCATTAGCGCCACCTTGCCACTCACCAAGGAGATAAAATGGTGCCCAGGAGATAAAATGCTCAATAGGATCCAGAAATAAGATTTAACGTCATTGTATTTATTAGGTTCTGAAACAATACACATTCACATCCTTTTGAATACAGTACATTTGGCACAATAATGTTTACAATGAAATAACACTAATGAATGGCAAGAGATTAAAATTACATCCTGAAAGGAAAAAAATGTACAAATAAAGCATCACAATACAAAAAAAAAAAAAAATCCCTAAAGTTGAATACATTTTATATTTAGCCAGAATTATTTTGCACATAATTTAAAAAGAGGTAATTTTTTATCCTTTTTTTTTTTAAATGTAAGAAACGTATTTTTTTCACCTTTGGAGGAAAAAAAAATTATTTCCACTTCACAAAGTCCATAATGAGAGAACACAGGAGAACAGCTATCCTTCATATATTTTTTTGGCATTTTTTTATACTCCCTCCTCCTTTTTTGTCTCAAAAAAAAAAAAAAAGTGAGCAAGCTAGTTGGAAAGATTAGAAAGAATTAGCAGAAATGTAATAGTGTGTCTGCTTCCAAACTCTTGTGAAAACCGAAATGAGACAATGAATATTCAAGGAACATACAAGCTCTATTCTACAGACTACATAGGATTTGAATGCCTGTGTGAGAACTTGACCAGCTTTCAAGCAGGAGGCATCCCAGTCAGCGCACCTCTGGGGGCTGGAAGGGGGCATCTCTGAGCCAGGCAACCTGCTTGAGTGACTGCTTGGAGCTGCTGGGTAGAATGAATTATTATTCGTCTTCCAACAAAAATGCCAGTTGTCCCGTAGGAAGGGCCCAACCCCTGCTGACATGGGAATACCTTGGACAAGGCCATTTGGCATGACAGTTTAAGAGCTTGCTTGGTCGTTCAATCATCAGGGTGAAGGAAGCAGAGAAGAAAACAGAAAGCAGTAGTGATTCATGAGTAAGACGGGCAGTATTGTCATGTTTTCCTAAAAAATGAGATGACGCCACCATGAAGATGTTTCTGTGCTTGTCCTCAACTCCGGAAGATAGTCTCCCCCTACTATGTCAAGTTACCGAAGATAAATTAAATTAATCTACTGTTCTTCATCTCTTCACTGGTATGATGAACACACAAATTGATATAGCATAATATTTGAAATTATAACAAGAACAGATAATAATTACACCTGAGTTTTTTCAAAAATCAAAACAAAAGAGAAGTGAATGTCATCACTAATAACCAAGGCCACGACTAGCCAGATGCAAATATGGACACCAGCTCTGTATGGGCTTGAGCTAGTCACTGTCCAAACTTTGAAACAACCATCTAGAACATTCCTTTCTCTTCCCCATCTCTATCAGGGTATAATAGAGCATAGGAGAACTATATGTGAGATTTAATATAGCTTAATACATGTTTACATCTTTTAAAATAAACCAAAATGAAATAAACAATACGAAGAACACCCCTTCTCCCGCCCCCCCGCCTCCCAGAAAAAGAAAGAAAAAAGGAAACACACCTTATCTCTCGGTAACTTGAACCAATACGCTTACAGAGTATTGCACCTGGACATTATTATAATTATTCTTTCATAGACTAAAGTTTATAATATGCCTGAACATGCAGCAGTTGATACCTCTAAATTCAATGAATTAATTCCACAGGCCTTGCAGCAAACACTATATACAAAAAATCTCAAATGTACAAAAGGCAAAAAGCTTCATTAGTGCCACTTTGCCACTCACAAGTATATATATTTAGGGGCAGCTGGGAAATCCACGTGCAATCGTTGGAATGGATTCCATTCCCTGCTAAGTCAGTTCAGTGAAATAGAAAATCCAACGACCTCCGGGAAACATAACACACAAAGCCACAGAGAATCCTTGGAAATCAAAGAATGTAACACTGGTAGCATATCTACAGGAGGTAACATCACATCCATTAAATAGTGTCCACATGAGTTGCCCTTGCATGTCACACAGAAACAACACTCTGAGAACATCTTGCCACCCTGTCAGTGTTCCAATAAGTCGCTCTTCAATCTCCTGATACCCTCTACATAACCCATGTTTAGCCTCATGCTGCTTGTTCCGAAAGCAGATATTTTATATTTAACTTTACAGGTTTAATGTTTAAAAACCACAACACAGTAGTACTGTCATTTGGTAGAAGTGCGCAAAAATCACACACTGCTGCAGAAAATAAATAGAGTTGATGCTGGGGATTCAGGATGAAACTGGAGAATCTGAGTTTTGCTAGAACCCAGGGTCTTGACCACTCTGCGGGGTAGCCATGGAGTTCAGGCAGAACTTGAACAATAAAGAGCTGTACTAGTTTTCTTTTCTCTCAATTCAGAGCCCCCAGGTGCCACAAAAGCATTAAGAGCATACACCATGGATGATGATTTTCTCATTGTATATTAGCCCTTTAATATCTACCTGTTTTAACACTGGAATTTATTTCTTTTGGCCAATTAGAAAGCAAATTTGATAATCTATTTTTGAAATATTAATAGAGTTCAAATCAAATTTCTTTTTCTAAGGAGAACAATTTCTTCCACAAGATACATGCTTATACAACTTTGGCATGCCCCAAATCTAAAACCAAAGCAAATGACAATGAGCCACTCCAGAGCAAACCAACACAGCGAGCCAATCAGGGGTCTTCCAACCTCTCTCCTTCCTGGGAACGCCTTGAGGGCGCCCACCCTTGGGCTGAAGAAGCACCAGTCTCTTCTTCTCTTCTGGACAGAATGGCAGAGGGTGGCAGGTGGTGGGTAGGGGACTGGAGTGAGGAGAAGCAAGAATTGTCAGGACTCTATGTTCAAAAACAGAGCCAGAGTCTTGCTTGCTTTTTTTCTTCCTTCTTTTCTTTGTAGTAAAAGACCTGAAGTTCCTTCCTTACCAGAAGCCCCCGAGGAGCAAAGCCAGGCTTGCCAACAGACCAAACTCAGCAGAGGGTCCAGTGAACTGCTGACCCTGCACAATTCTGCAGTGTGTGAGACGAGAACCAAGAGTGCCTCTAGTCATCAGGTGGAAGGGGGGAGGAGCTCGCCCCGGGGTGAGGGAATGCAATAAATAGAGGGTGGACAAGGGACTGGGGCTCGGGGGAGAAGTAGTTCAAGACCATCTGATGGGAAAATAGGAATCTTCCCGGCGCCCCTGCTTGCAGCATCACCAAACTTCACCGGGAGCGGCTGATCAGGGCATCAGGTCTTCACCAAAGTAGGAGAAGCCTTTGAATTCCTCCTGGTTGATCTGCTTCACAATCGCTTCATCCACGAGTGTGAGTACTGGCTCTTCCCGGGTAAAGTCTTGGTCAAAATTATTGACATCTCTTTTGGTTTTCTGTGGGAAGATAAGAGAAAGCACTGATTCTAGGCTGACCTTTCTCCCCAAGGCCCCCCAACAGGGAGTGGGCATTGCGCTGACCAGCCTCTTACCAAAGCAGACCTCTAGCTACTGAGAGCAAACATTGAGCTGTTTCATGAGGTAACGATGAATGGCCCCAGGACCGCGAGGTGACGGAGGACTTGGAAAGGAAGAATGAGGGCAAGTGAGAAGGAAGAAGGTATGATGGAAAAGCAAGGAAGTGGGATTCCCATAGACTGTGTGTGTGTGCATGTTCGGACATTTTCCCTTTCAGCATCTGCCCTAACCCTCTGGCTCCACTGAGTCCTCCCTTCCTGTGATCCAGGGGATGAACGTGAGTTGCCGTCCTATGAGGTCTCCAGTGGTCTTTCTTCCCTAAAGGTAACCATCACCACCCCTATCACCTTACCATGTCTCCTCTAGATGACATCTTCTCTATACATAGAGGGATGCATGGAGTCGGGGGTGGGACCATCTTCTGGGAAGCCTGCCTTGATCCTCACCTGCTATCATCCTGAGTCCTATTTTGTGCTCCCACATTATTTCTATTATTACACTCAAGACAGTGACTTGCAGTGAATTGTTAATGCTTCTGTCCTGTCCATGAGCTCCTTAAAGGCAGAATCCTTGTCTGACTCAACCTTGGGTTCCCAGCAGTCTACTAAACTAAGCATCTACTGAATGAATGAACACATCAGCAAGCCCACCACTGACTCTCTGGGTCAGAAGGACCCGTAACTAGTTGGAAGTTCAAGTTGCCAAAATTGGGCTTATAGTCTGTGGAGGGGTGGAGGGCAGTGATCAAACAAACTCTGGGTTTTGGAGAAAATCAGGAAGCAAGAATAATCCTCTCTGCCTCTGGGTGCTCCCTGCTGGGCTGGGGTCAGTATTCCTTTCTAGAACACACTGCAATGGTGAGAAGAACTTTCACAGAATAGTGGGACCTGGCTGAGACTTGAAGAATGAATTACTATCACGTTGGTAGAAGTGGGAGGAAGGCACCTTGGCAGAGAGAGATGGGACAAAGGCAGGGGTGTGGGAACACGAAAGATGTGTATACAGGACAATGGGTTGGTCAAGCTGTTTGCGACACAGTGCAGCGTGGGGATGGCGGGAAATAAGGGTGGAGTCCAACTGAGAGAACTTCAGTACCAAGTCCCCTCTCCTCTGCCTTCCACAACACAATACTGAGATGACTGAAGGAGTTCTGGCAATATTTTTTCAGATATTGATTAACTGGCATTATCCAGGATTAGTGCCCTGGATGATAGAATAACTCTTGTGAAAAGGTGACTATTATTATTTGTGGAATAGATATTCACATATGCTATGTTCTGTGGAAATGAGTTACCTAAAAGGTTAATGATAGTCTGTGTAAAAAGTAGTCTTGAGACAAAGCTATATTTTGTACCCTGCTCTGGGAGAGTCATCATGCATGTCAGCAAATGAAAGGCTGTGGGACACCCTGAAGTCAAGAAAACCTGGCTGATTTGATTAAGGCCAGTCTTCCTCAGACTTGACATAAAGTCTTGACATTTTTTTTAATACACACACACACACATACACACACACACACACACATATTTTTGCTGTGGACCATTTTATTTAAAGATTCTCTTAGATTCTTTTTTGATGTGGACCATTTTTAAAGTCTTTATTGAATTTGTTATCATATTGTTTCTGTTTTATGTTTTGGTTTTTTGGCCATGAGGCATGTGGGATCCTGGCTCCCAGACCAGGGGTCGAACCCACACCCCCTGTACTGGAAGGTGAAGTCTTAACCGTGGATTGCCAAGGAAGTCCTTTTTTTTTTTTTCCCTAAATAGTTTCTCAATATCCTGGGAGCAAAGTTCTGCGGAGTGTGGTTTGGGAAGTGCCACTTTACAGAGCATCTTCATGTTCACTTGCTCATTGATCCTTGGAACAGGCAGATGTTATTATCCTGATTTTACAGATGTGGAAACTGTGGCTCACAGATGTTTGATCACTTACCCAGAGTCACGCAACTGAGTTCAGAGTGGGGCCAGACTCAAGTCCAGCTCTCAGCATGATGCCTCTCATGGTGCAGAATATTTGGAAAGCTGGACACTGGAGACATGTGAAGACATGGCCAGGCTCAAACTCAACCAGGAGACCTTTAGGTCAAGCTACTAGGCTGAAGTAAAGCCAGTGAGGCTTGCTAGTAAGCCAGCACGGTGGGAGAGGGCTGTGGATCAGGGAGAGAGTGGAACACGGTGAGGTGAACTTGGCAGGGAAGCTGTTTTCAAACTGTCCCAGATTGAGGTCCGAATCAGACAGACACCACGGAGAAGAGATGAGCTAATCTCTCCCATACTGCAGCCCCATCAGTCCTGCTTGGCATCTTCTCTGCGGCCTTGAGCCACCAGAGCTCAGTAGGGCTCAGAGACCTTGGAGGGGGAACGGAAGGGGGACAGAGGAAAGCCGCAGGGACGGAAACAGTCCTTGCAGCACAAGGCGGTGTGTGCCGCCCCCGAGATGAGAAAACTGAGTGGCTCAGCCGTTCCTACAGCAGGGCTGGCTCCAGGCAAGAGGATGACTTGTTCTCCATCTCCAGTGTGTACAGAGCAAAAGGCAAAGGGGGGCCCTGCGTGGAGAGAGACTTCAGAGGGGAACCACAAAGCCCATCTCCACAGTGACGCACGTGGGACGCGGGAGGGCAGCCGCCTGGGGAGAGGGTGTGAAGACTCCTCTCCTGAAGGTCTCTATCACAGGAGCGAGGGGTTCACTTTGATTGAAGAGGGGTAACAGCATGTGGCCCATGGTGCTGGGGGAGAAGCAGGATGCAGAAGAAGGTGCCAGAAGCATGGGAAGCACCAAGTATCATCCTGGATGGTGACCAAGAGGCATCCTCAGCAGGGGCAGGAGGAGAGGGAGTCGGTGAGGAAGACTGGCAGAGAATAGGGCAGAAGGGAAACTCAGTTTGAACACCACCGATGGTGGGCGAGATCCAGGACCTTTCAGGGGCAGGAGCCCCTCCTTCCGGCCTCCTCTGCACTGGTCACTAATGGGGGAGGGGCCGGTATATACGGAGCCTCGGGAATTCTGACTCCCCTGTTTAACTTCTCGTGCCTCACCTTTCCATTTGAGTCCACTAGTCATGGAAACTGGTTTCATTTCCTGAGGTCAACTGAGCATAGTGATGGAGCTAGGTTCCACAGGATGTCTGAATGTCCCAACTTGCTGACTGCCTACCAGGGAACTGGGCTCAGTCAACACAGCTAGGGACATCTTTTTCCGGTGCATGGTGGGCTGGCTTGGGGAGCAATCAAGCTCAGCTCTGGGCTTTCCAGGGGTCCCAGAATCATTGGTGGCATGCCAGCGAGTGTGCCATTCTTCAAGAACTCTATGGAAGAACCTACTTGACCCATGCACCCCTTATGCTACCTGGTCCAGGCCTTATTTCCCTTGGAGACATCTTATATCCTTGTCAGTTATTCATTTCCATTCATATAACTAACAGTTCCTGACTATTAATTAACCTTAGAGGCTTGGGAGGTTTTCCAGAGCAAGTAGCTCTGAGGAAACCCACCCCAGGTTAATAGCATGTAGGCAGCCTCACATCCTCACATTTAGAGGATTGGGGACTATATCCTTTACTCACTGGTTTCATTCTCTGGAAAGCTGCTGTTTCCCTTACAGAGCAGGTACAGGACTCATCCCCAAGGTTCTGATGGACAAAGTCCCTGTTTACCTGGACCTGCAGTCATCCCATTTGCCTCCCTTCATGTCTACACGCCTGACTCTTAGCACCCACCACCCTGCCTGAGACGTGACTCTGGGACTCAGGGAACAGCCTTCTAGCTCTTCACACCTTATCTCCTCCATGAAGCTCCTCCTGCATCCTCTGACCCACACAGAGGAGGAGAAAGAGCACTGGCTGACCTCCCACCTTGGTACCGTCCCCTTCCTGGTTTGATGACATTGTGAAGGAAACCTCTTTGAGCCTTGGTCTTTTCATCTGTAAAATGGGGGTGGTCCCAGGAGCCCTATGATAGCCTTGATGACTGAGTTGGATGCCAGATGTGGGGTGCCTCAGTGCAAATCCTGACACATAGTGGGCACCCAATAAATGTGAGCTCCTACCCTGCCTCTCAGCCTTAGCACCATGTGCCTTGCATGCCTCATGCTCAGCTTGGCTGGGTCTCCAGTGCAGGCCATGGGTGCCATGAGCTTTGGAGTGCAGGGCCTGAGCTCACACTTCTCTCTGTGCTTTCAAATCCTGAACTAGTGCTGAGCCAGGGCCTGCCTGCACATCCTGGTCTTCTTCCAGCCACTGAGATTCTTCCAGTGGTGCCCTACTGCTCTCAGAAAAAGCACCAGTGTCTTAATCACTTCTAAGGCCCTTTGGGATCTGGTCCCTGCCCACTTACCCAGCTTTTTATCCTAGGCCCTATGAAACCATGAAGTTCTTTGGACTCACTGGCTTCTTCCTGCAACCGAGCCTTTGATCAGCCAGTCCTCTGCCTGGAGCACCCTCTCCCCTCTCTGACTCCTGCCCCATGTCCTCGTCACCTAGCTGACTTCTGCTCACCTTTTCTGTCTTGGCTTAGATATCCTGCCTTCAGGAAAACTTCTCTGTCTCTCCAGGTCTCTTCTTGGGGTCTTGTCATCTCCCCTAACTTTTATCACAGCACGTGCCACACTGGGTGTCCACCTCCTTTTGTGATTAATCTGTGAGCTCCTGGGGGCAGGGATCAGGTTGAACTCAATGTTTCATCCTCAGGCTGGTGCACTGCCTGGCACATAGTGAGTGCTCAATAAATAACCAAGAAAAAAGATTGAATGTGTGTCTCTTGCTACCACTTTATCTAAAGTCACTGAAGTGATCTGGGTTCAGGGCCTGAGGCACTCTTGTGCCAGTGGGTGTTTTCGTCTCGAGGAGGCTGAGGACTGACTCACAAAGAGCCCAGAGCAGGGTGCCCTAGCCCATGGCAGCGCCACAGGACCCTGAGAAA